CCTCCCACCTCAAGCTGCACCTCCATCTCCTACCGACCAACCTCATCCCACCCCCTTGACCTGTCCGTCCTCCCTGGACTGACCTATCCCCTTCCTAACTCCCCACCTACACTCACCTTTACTGGCTCCATCCCTGCCTCTTCGACCTGTTTGTTTCCTGTCCACCTATCCTCTCCTCTATCCGCCTCCCACTCTCTCCCTATTTATTTCAGAACCTCCTTCCCCTCCCCCTTTTCTGATGAAGGGTCTAGGCCCGAAACGTCAGCCTCTCTGCTCCTATGATGCTGCTTGGCCTGCTGTGTTCATCCAGCCCTGCACCTTGTTGTCTCAGAGGCTCGGGGACCGCTTTGCAGAACACCTACTCTCGGTTCGCAATAAACAACTGCACGTCCCAGTCGCGAACCATTTCAACTCCCCCTCCCATTCCTCAGACGACATGTCCATCCTGGGCCTCCTGCAGTGCCACAACGATGCCACCCGAAGGTTGCAGGAACAGCAACTCATATTCCGCTTGGGAATCCTGCAGCCCAATGGTATCAATGTGGATTTCACAAGCTTCAAAATCTCCCCTCCCCCTACCGCATCCCAAAACCAGTCCAGCTTGTCCCCGCCTCCCTAACCTGTTCTTCCTCCCACCTATCCCCTCCTCCCACCTCAAGCCGCACCCCCACCTCCTACCGACTAATCTCATCCCGCCCCCTTGACCTGTCCGTCCTCCCTGGACTGACCTATCCCCTCCCTAACTCCCCACCTACACTCACCTTTACTGGCTCCATCCCTGCCTCTTCGACCTGTTTGTTTCCTTTCGACCTATCCTCTTCTTTATCCATCTTCTATCCGCCTCCCCCTCTCTCCCTATTTATTTCAGAACCCCCTTCCCCTCCCCCATTTCTGATGAAGGGTCTAGGCCCGAAACGTCAGCCTCTCTGCTCCTATGATGCTGCTTGGCCTGCTGTGTTCATCCAGCCCTGCACCTTGTTGTCTCAGCTATAACTCTGTACATGTTCCTGCAGCTTTAGTTCTTCTTAAACATGGAACATAAATCCCCCCAAAATTTTATTGGATTCTATTGTTTTGAAATTTCCCTTAACATTTTAAAGACAATAAGTTGAGTTCTGCAAGTTCCTCTTAGGCACTTCAAAGCTCTTAACTCTTAAAAGCACAAGAGTAAAGACAAATTACTCTGAGAGGTATGACATTACTGGCCCATAAACAATTTTAATTTGTAGTCAATGTTATCATCCAGTTGATGAAAACCAAGGCTATCAACCAGTAAGATTTTTCCTTTGCCTTCCTGCCATGATATTGATATCCTGTCACAGGTATTTTCTTGGAGATTCTGTGCTTGTAGTCAGGCAGATATTGTACAGATATCAAAATTTGCTACGTCATTGGTGCAGAAATACAAAAGACAGACATTCTGCTCTGGGGTAACTTCACCTGAGGAAGAAATCTCAAATGTTTTAGTCATGAAATGTCTTCCAAGAATGTAATTAAATCCATAGGTCTCTGAGTAATAATTATCACGTTCAATAAAATTCAGCTTAGTAAACTGACCTGACCCTTACCAAAAAATAGCCCACAGCACGTAATGGCTGGGAATCATTGGTAACAGCAGAACATGTATCTTTTATTTGAGAATATTGTTAAGTGGAGATTGAATGGAGAATAGATAGGAATTCCCTTTGATTTGAAAGCACTGCATTTAACATTTATTTACATTTAAATCTTTGGGATTCAGCATTTCCTTATTAAAGATGCATAGGTGTTTTAGTGTCTTTGAAAATATACATTAGAATTTTAATTTTGCAAGAAACTCCAAAGATCTCATGTCTTGAAGTCATTGGCAACAAAAATTGGGGGAGATATAAAATAGACTGGTCATTTGCTATTATCTATTTTATGTTATCACACCAAGCCGACGATTATCTCCAAACTCTTTGGAAACTGCATTTGCAACTGCCTTGCAAGAATACTTTACTAAGAATTTTGGTGTAGTATGAACAAAGTTCCATCATGTAAGGTAAATCAAACCCATGCACCTAAAATCAAAAGATGCTTCTAAACATGAAAAGGCAATGGTTAAAGCTTAGTGCAATAACATATAACGCTGTAATTAGTAAATCTTTAAAGTATTAATCTTTTATTCTTAAGCACACAGTTTCCATGTATCTCTCACAATAATATGTTTCTACAGAATGATTTGTGTTGATATTTCTTTAGCAGCATTTTTTTAACCAGACTTCTTGATCAGGCTCCTCTTTAAATAGAAACTCTCAGTTTCTATCAGCTCGATGAATTAATTGTTTACTTGCCAAGGAGTCTTTTGGAAAAAGAAAAAGATGGAGTCACGCAAAAATAGAGGATTACTTTCAGTGATATATTGAGATACAGTTATCTGTTTATAGAAGTAAGCAAGCATTAAATAAGATCAGGTCAAAATTATGAGTGATTAACTTATGGAGGATCCATGACATTTAAATATTTTTTCTCTTTGGAAGTGTTGATTAACATCCTGCAGCATGCTTAGTCATAAAGCCAGCACTGCCAGTTAAATATATGAATATATATGCTTTATCTGCAGTAGCAATGTTCAAACAGTACAGTTTTTTCAATCCTCAACATACAAGAGTTCAGTGCAATTTGTTGGCAATATGTCGACATGTTTAGAATGTTTTCCTTGATGTAGGGAAGTTTAAACATATGACGGTGATGAACCAAAGGGTTTTCAAAATACTGGAAACTGAGGAACTACACAGGGTAGGAGGCAGTCTTCTCTTTGGTAAATCAATGATCTTAAGCTCTTTCATCTGGGTGGTGTCAGCTGGCTCAAAGGTCAGGTGGCTTGCAGAAATGGGACTGACACCAACTATTGTCTACCTTGTTTCATTTGCAGCCTGTGTATTATATACTTCAACTAGCAAATATCCAACAGCTGTTTTGTTCTTGTGTTTGTTATGTGGATGTCCTGTTGCACATGTAAGTGGATTTTTTTTTATTCACTTGCTCGGCAGAATTTATTGCCCATCCCAAATTGCTCAGAGGGCAGTTGAGAGTCAACCACATTGGTGTAGGTCTGGAGTCACATGCAGGCAAAACCAGGTAAGGATGGCAGTTTCCTTCCCTAAAGGACATTAGTGAACCAGATGGGTTTTTCCCCTGACAATTGACAATGGATTCATGGTTATCATTAGATTCTTAACTCCAGATATTTTATTGAATTCAAATTCCACCATTTGCTGTGGTGGGGTTCGAACCCAGGCCCCCAGAATGTTATCTGGATTAATTATGGATTAATAGTCTAGCGATAATACCGCTAAGCCATTGCCTGCCCTTCAAGTAGACATTCTGTCGCCACTGAAGGGAAGAAAAAGGCAAGGTAATGGCCTGTGGGATATCTTTTTGTCAGGATCAGACCATGTAGACCTGGAGAGGATTCAGGAGAAGGGTGAGACCATCAAGGGGTTTCTAGACTTCTATCCAGAAAAGATGGAGGAGGAAATATGACCAGTTTGGGTGCAATGATACTTGTTCAATTGCATTCTCCCCAAGAGTCAGCTGTCATTGATGGCCGGAACTATTGGAGACACTGCAAGCATATCCTACTGAACACAAAGGTTAGGCCATTTGACTCCTGCACTTCTCCAACATATGATAAGATCATGGCTGATCTAATTGTGGTTTCAACTCCACTTTCTTCTCTGTTCCCCATAATGCTCGTCTCTCTTGCCAATCAAAAATCTATCAGTCTTGAAGTAAATTCTTAAGGATTAAGAGATTCCTAGCAATTAAGAGATACACTTTCTACTAGAGCAGAATGTAATCTGATTAGTTGCAAATTTTGACATACGTGTGTATGAAACAAAATTCCTTAAATTTATGCATATAACACTCAGCATCTCTTAAGCACTGTTCTGCAGTTAAGTAAACTAGGCCCTATTTATTGCATACCATGTGATCATGTAGGACAATTATGTTGAATGCTTCAGAAGTAGCAAGTCAACCAAACCACAACTCTACACAGCAAAAACAGTAAATACATTTACCATTTGTGACTGGGATCCTGAACATCCGCTTGTGGCTCACGAGATGAATGAATACCACTGGTTCCTGAAAGATGATTCAGAAGAAAGAAAGCAATAAAGTAAAAATCACTGTTTATTGTTGGAGAAGATCAACAAGCTGATTTATTGTATGTTGCAAATAATGGTGAATGTTACTGTTAGAAATATAAAATACTCAATATTGTTTAAAATTACCCAACACCATTACAGCAAACTGTTTCAGATTGAATAATGAACTGGGTAGCATCTTGGTGAATTTCTGCAGTGTGCTTTGTTCTACAGTTTGAGCCAAACACATTGTACTTCAAACAAATGGCCCTGTGTGAAACCAAAGGAAAGTAGTCCTTAGAGGGATGAAGTAGCTACAGTCAAGCGGTACCACTACAGTCAGTCAAGGACCCCATCTTATTCTGATCCAAGGAGTTGGCCATTGTCAGTCAGGTTCTTGCTGTCCACCAACATCTTCAGGTCCCTGTCTGAAAATTGGGCATGAAAGCCAGAAGATGCCAGCAGTAGTGAATACTTCTACCTCTCTGGCTGTGTAATTCCCCTACAATGGTGCCCAAAGCCAGTTACAATATTAATGAGGTGAAGAATAGTCAATTTCATGAGAAAAGCTGCTAAGAGCCATGGCGGACTAGGTGGCATAATTCTAATTTGATAAAATATTTTACTGGAAAAAGAAAAATTCAGCCCTTAACTCTGATCGGTGATCTTCCACAAGTTGAAGTGAGGGTCTTGTAAAGCAGAGGATTCTCAGCAAGTTAAGGTTTTTTTGTCATCAAACATCTAGAATATTGGTTCTGAGGTGAACTTTGAACCTGGAATAAGTTGGTTACATGAAGTTTTGCAGCTAATTTCCAAGTATGCCTGACAGACTCACTGATGGCTGATGGCTCTGTTGGTTCTTCCTGCAACTAGCTCTGAACTTGAGCTATTTTTTTAACCAGACAAAGAAAAGGTGGCTGTTTCACCATATCTCTGTTAATAACTTCAAAGCATTTTTTCAAATAAGGTGTTGAGTTAATGTTAATTCCATATCCCTGCACTGTGAGTTAACAGTTCTGAAACTTACCCATCTCGTATGGATGTGGAAGGTCATCATGATACAACAGGAAGTTGAGAGTGGCCTTTCACATCCGTCTGAGTTTTGATTTTTCCTTTTACCCAAAATGATACATCGAACCAAGCATTCTGGAACTCTGTATTCTTTTTATGTGAGCCCATTTTATGAATTTCACAGATAGCTGTTAGACATCCTTTGCCCTCATTAAATTAGGTATTCACCCGATACTCAATACTGTCTCTAGTCCAAATGGTAAAAGTCAGATGATTTGCAGCAGCCATCTTAACAGCTTCTGTATGTCCAATATTCAAAAGTAATGACTCAAAGCATGTAATATAACATGCCTGAATTGACATGACAGTTTATCCAAATCCAAAGAAACCCATGGCGACTTGCAAAAATAGCGAGTTCAGCTATTTTTATTGACTTCGTGCTGGGAATGTGGTGCTGTGAAAGTTGGAGAAACTCCCCAAAAAACAGTCTGTGTGGAACTCAGGCTGTGATTCTGTTCGGCTAATGGGTGATCTTGCTGTCTGGTTGAGAAACCGGTAAGAAGCCTTCTACAGTTCCATGGGGATTGCCTGACTGAATCAAATGTCCTTCAGGCACTTAAGTGGCCATTGTCAGGAGATCCGTGTGATTGAGGTCCGTGGTAGCAGATGTCCAGCCTGCCATTAGCTGGTAGCCAATCAGTCAGGAGGAGCAATGGTAGCTGGTTGCAATGCACCCACCAGAGGTCCAGGATCATCATGAAATCCTGGAGCAAAGGTGAGTGAATGCAGGTTGGGGATTTCAGGGTGGAGGTCGCAGGGTAGGGGGAAAAGGTGCTTGAGGCAAGGGATGGCTTTCAGCAGGCAACCTCTCTCGCCCCACCCCCATACGCCCTCTCCTCACAATCTCAACTCCCCTTGATCTTTTCAAACTTGAGAAGGTTTGCTTAATGGCCTTCCAAGGGCACAGCTTCTGATATCTGTGCCGGTGTGATTCCAGGAATAAATATCCTGAAAATCTTTGGGACTAAACCCAATCTCCAGGTGTGATGTTGTGAGAAACAGATGGACCCTTAGGAAAATTACTAAATGGACACCTTGCAATTTACGATGCTCTTCTCAGGGTGCATTCTGTCTCCTGCAAACATTACAGGTGAAACCTGGGTAAAAACCTAAAAAATATCCAGGCTAACAAATTTGTTAGTGAACAGTCAGACAGTGAGGAAACAATAGCAATGAGAGCTATTAGTCAATAATGCCTGAGCAATGTATGAACTGGAAGACGTTTCTGAATGGCAAGGTAACAATCTCTACAATCGTCGCTACTATTGAATAGCAAAAGACAGCAGTCCAAGTATGGGCTGTCACTGATTGAGCAAAGCAAGGACAACACCAGAGAATTTCCTGGGTATCATTATTGGTGTTCATTGCTTAACAGAACAAGCCACTGGGGATTCTTGCTGCTATTCAGAGGAAACAAAGGAGAAAACCCCAGAAGGTTGATTGAATGAGGGTTATTGCTGGGGCCGAAACACCCTAAAGTTCCAAAACCCAGCTCATTGGAAGCCTCAGTAGAGACTAGGTCTATTAATAGAAAGACGTTAAGGCATTCCCTGTACTCGCAACAGGATCCTCTTTCTCCATGAGGACATTTCAATGCCAATGCCATTACCACAGTTTTTCACACCTTTTTCTGTTGTTTTGAGAGGAAACATGATGCAGGCAGAATGAAGGACTGAAAATAACTCCAAGTTTGGATGCTCCCTCCTCACTAATTTTTATCATACATACACAACGGATAGGAAAGGTCCAGACAGGAGCTGTGTGTGGAAACTCCTGGTGTTCAGTGATCGAAAAACAGGTGGTGAACTGACAGAAGACCTCACTGGCCCATTTTGCTGTAAAACATCTTGATTTTCATAAGGATCATGAATAAAGTCCACACTCCTCCACTCCCACCCAATTTGTCCACTATTTATTAAACATTTTCCAAATGCCCATGCTGAAAATCAAAACCAGCTACATAAAATTATCACATTGTAGTTACATTTCCCCTTTCAGCAGAGCTGCTGAAGTGGCTCACTGGCAGAGGGGTGTGGTTACAGGAGATAAAAGCTTTTTTACTATGAATACTGACAAAGGGATTTGTAATATAAGGATTAAAATAAAGTGAGTAAAGATGACCTTAAAATAGGGATTGACTCACGTTTGCACAGCTGGTTAAGATATTACTTTCCTTCAACCTTTAACCCACTTCACCTGTCTACTTTGTTCATCTTAATTCCTCGTGCAGTGCCACAAAGCATTGACTGTGACGTTTATAAATGTTAAACCTTCTATCACCACATAAGTATTTACTCCTGTACAGACAAAACAAATACTTCATACATGCTCCATTGCCCCACCTTTGACGATCAAAAATTCAGCAACTGTTTTAAAATTAACAAATGTTCTGACATCAGTTGCTATTTGCTGATAAAAGGTTCAAAATTTCTGCCACTTTTGTGAGAAAAATTATTTCAATTTCAGTCCTGAAGCTCTGGCTTTATTTTTTTGCTTGACTATGGCCCAAGACCTATATTCCTTAATTAGTGGAAATAGGTTCTCTAATATCTACCCCATTTTTCCCCTCAATATCTTAAATTCATACTATTTCAGCATTCACCGACAATTGGATTCTAGATGTAGAAATCCACATGGCTCCTGCTGCGTTCAGTCTCATGGTCAGTATGTCATATGGTTTTAGAGGCATGCTTACTTTATCATCACTGTATCATAGCATGTATCAGAGGGTATGACAGTCATGCAACTCCATCTTACATCAGATCACTTGAAGCAGACACCCTACAGGAAGCATGCTCCTCCATTATACACTAATATGTTGACATATGCCTAAGGAATGCAATGTTTGTACATAATAGTTAGTTGTAATGTCTGCTAAGTTCTTTAATACCATGATATCCACATAGTTTCTGTTGTTATGGAAATAACATAAGCTTTGCCACGTCAGGTATAACACCCTGCCGGAGGCAAACTCGCACCAACAATAACCAGTGCCAATACTAATGCAATAAGCTAGTGCTAACAATCCCAGAATATTTTTGTAATGACATTTCTCACGTGTATTCTGTCATCCACATTTTGTCAATTGTGTTTGTCTTCTGATTTTCTGTCCAAATTCCCTACATTTTTCTCCTTATAAATTGTTTTTTTTTAACATTCATCAATCATGACATGGAAAACATTCTGTCTGACCTTAATTTTCTCCCAGTCATAATTTATCAAACAAAGCAACCCGGTTGTTACAGCTACTGTGACTGTTCCTCACCTGTGCACTTACTCTCTTAAAAAGTTTGCTGCACTCACAGACATTAAAAGATCGAAAATGCTCAAAATTGAGCTGTGGACAATAAATCTCTGAAAAACAATCAGCAACTACAATATGGTCTGAGCTCTTTCCCCAAGTAAGCTACAGTAGCCACAAAATGCAGAACTGCAAGAAACAATACCCAATCAGATTCCAGATTTTAATTATTTCTAGTTTACCAATACCACCAGTTGGAGAAAGGCAGAGTGATAGACACTGGTAGAGAGAGAGAGAGATGTACAGAAGGTCCAACAGAGTAATGGAATGATTCAGAGAATGGAAGAGTGAGGAAGAGTCAAATGAAGAGTAGAAATAGAAAGAGAAAGCTGGTGTGAAGAAGACATTTCCAAAGGATTTGGGAAGGGAAGCTCGGGAGTCGTGAAAGAGAGGAAGATAATTCTGATGTGGGTGAAGGGAAACCTTTGAACTGTTTGATTGTGATGATTTTTGTTGATACTTCACAAGCTAATCAACACACTCACGAGGAGCAACACTGCAGACCAACTGCTCATGTATCATTACCAACATGAATACATAGTACATGAGCATAGTTTCCAACCAATACTATTTTGTAATTCAATCACTATTATGGATGCATTGAAATTCCCTCTTAGTCTGAAAAATACCAACTCAAACCCAAATAAGGTTATGCAAAATAATGTAAATGCTGGAAATCTAAAGTGAAATCACAAAATATGGACAATACTTCTCAGGTCAAGCAGCATCTGTGAAGAAAGAAAGAGTTAATAGACTGAAAAGTTAACAATGGGGCTCTCTCCACAAATGTACCGGAATTGCTAAATATTTCCAGGAAAATCTATGCCTTGTAACCTCTACGGAAGTCCCGTCATTTCCATAATTCACCACAAATCATTTGAACTCTATACAATTGGTGTTCCAAGTAATTATTCTCAATAAATGAACACCATCTTTTTGCAGATGATTTTCTATAACTCTTAATTTATTACCAGCTCCAATGTGCCTTAGAATTTCATTCAGCAAATCTTGTGTTCTCTGTAATTCACTGGTGAACTTTGCAGTAGCATTTTCCTGTTGTTGATAAAGGGCTGAAACCTTCAACTGCAGGTTTGAAATCTCTTCATGCACTGCTATATTTAATGTCATGCCGCTGAAAAAGAAAGAGAACAAATGATGCTTTTTAAAATACAACATTTTAGTCTTTCGCACCTCTAACATACAATGCCTCATTTATTTTGTAGTACATATGTGAAAGACAATGTGAAAATTGGAAGTTAATGAGGTGGTGTAAAGTAAATAAAATGGTGCAAAAGTAATTGAATTAGTGTAAAGTAAATGAGATGGTGGAATCTAAATCAAGACAAAATGTAAAGTGTTGCAATTTAAATGAGGCACAACATTTTTAACAGAGTAGTGCAATGCAAATTCATTGTAATGATTACGGTGCAGTATATTTTTAACGGAGTGACCTCATGTAAATGAGGCATCCTGGAGTTATGAGGCAGTGTAATGTAAATGAAGGCTTGACACATTTTGGATGTGTAAGAAACAGCTACAAGAGTAATATTCAGTCGTGCCCCCTCACGATTTGGTGGATGCTGGGCTATTGGTTATGGGATCGTTATATGCTTCCTGCTGTCTCTAAAGGCCATCACTGCTTTCCAATCACTGATTTGCACACATCTTCCCAGGCATCTGAAATAATGACCTCAACATTAATGTTTCCCAAGGTGTGCAGGAGAGAAATGGTGAGCAGAGCAATTAATGCACAAAACTAGTTGTTAAGGACTTAAATACACCGAAAGTGTCCCAACTTGCCACAAATACATTCCCTGCCTGTTGGAGTGTTCAAGACATGGAAAGCAGGGTACCTAATTAAGATATTTGGGACCCCACACTATAATTGGAATCTAAATTGAAATTCACTACTGTCATGTGGGTTTCCCTGGGGTCTGGAAACCCAAAATGAAAAAGGAGGTGGGACAGCCAGCTATGGAAAACATCAGATTGTCTGTTTTACAACATTCCTCGTGGGCCAGTCACTCCAGGGCATCTTCGGCCTCTCCCTGCCAATCATGACCTTTTTGTTTGTTGTGCTGATTGAAATAAATTGCATCTCTTCCCAGCTCTGATTAGAGAATTGGATCCCAGAGAAAAATATAGCAACGTGTAGAAACTTATAAATTAAATTCAACTCAGGAATAATTACTTGCATTTATATGGCAACTTTAACATCGAAAAACATCAATGCACTTAACGAGAATCTTATTAAACAAAATTTGAAGATTTGACACTGAGTCATATAATGGGATATTACATTAGGAAAACAAAAGCTTGATCAAAGAGGGGCTTTAAGCAGCATCTTAAAAGATGAAAAGAGAAACAGAGAGGTAGAGAGGTATAGGGAGGGAATTTTAGGGCACATTGTCTCAATAACTGCAGGCACAGGTCACTAAATGCTGAGTGATTAAATTTTGCACACAACAAAATACAATTGAAGACACATATTAGTTTACAGCCATCAGATATCAGAAAGAAGTATTTGACTAAAATACAAATTTAAATATTTAATTTTGTATAGCGAATCCTCACCTATCACAATTATGTTCCAATGTGGATCCTACAACAATTTAACTGACTGTCATTACAAGGTGACAAATATCTTCCAATATAGCAACCATAGAATAGAATGGAAATGTCCTAAGGACCACAACAAAAAAAAACTATTCTGACTATTTTTAAATTAAATCAAACATTTAAATGATTCCTAATTATGCAATTATTATTTGAGAACCTGTGCGGAACTACTACCATCTGAAGAATGTTGGACATTTGATCACATTTGATGTCAAATTCAAAACATATCAACATTGACTTGATGCAACTGTGCATGAACAATATAAAGAGAAATTGAAAGTTAGAATTAGTTACTTACTCTTCTGAACCTTCATCTTGACTTTGGCTTTGGCTGGTGCCCCAAAACCTTCTCGAAAACCTGCTTCGAGGACTCTGTTCATATTCAGCTTTTTCCCATTCTTCCATTTGTAATAAATTTGTGAGATTATCTATATCTTCCTGAACAGGGATATTGGAAATTCAGGTTGAAATGAAAGGTATTTAATAACAACTTCGTATTTGTAACAAATTATAAAGCTAGGTCATTTATATCAGGTCAGTCTTGTTTACTTAGAAAGAAAATATTGAGGAATTTGGATGGTGCAATGCATTAAGCCTTCCATCTCAAATTCCCTGCTCCAGAATAGAGGCTGGGTGGGTAGTTCAAGAAATGGAAATGGTGCTCTTCTCAGATTGAGACTGAAGAATGTTACTAAGGCAGATAAATCCTGCATTTAATTATGGAGTCACTGTGTGAATGCTCAGTAATAATAGTGGGTGAAAAATTAGAAAGCATTTAGTTCTGTGGGCACTCGCATACCTTAACTTGCTGAACAGAAAGTGAGTGGAATTCAATAGAATCAATAGTGAACTGATAGAATGCTTTACATATCGTCTGATTTTCCTACCTCTTGAAGTCAATACAACAGAATTCAAGGAGATACATTATATTGTTTGTCATTGGAAAAATAATCTAGCGTTGACTACTGCCGATTTAATTATTATCTGACCAGATGTACATTCACTCTGTTCTGTCCAAAAAATGTACATTGTGCCCAACCTAAGAAATCTCCAAATAAACTGGAACAGTTTTTCATTTCCCTTACCAGCAGTCCTTTTAGCTTATTAGCAAGATTGTCAAATTAGTATAGAATTGTGACAGTCTTGTGCTATGGACCCATGCTCACAACAAACTAGGTTAGAAATAAAAATATAGCTGTTCTGAGTATAACACAAGTTCCAACAAATCTGTCTTTCTCAATGATCTCAAGCTGATGTGTTTGCCATCTCATTGTATCCCTGAATTTTTTCTCCCTCCAATATTCTCAAGTATATTTTATTTCTTGGGAGGTTGGCATCACAGGAAAAACAAACTTCTTTTTCATGGAATCTGGGAATCACTGACATAGGCCAGCATTTATTTCCCATCCCTAATTATGGGCACTTAAGAATCACATGTAGGCCAGACCACGAAAGGATGGCTGATTTCCTTCCCCAGGTGAACCAGAGGGTTTTTGTTTAAAACAATCAATATTTTCATTAGATCAAATTCTAATTGAATTCAAATTTCACCATCTACCATGGTGAGACTGAACCCATGACCTCAGGATATTAGCCTGTAGCACTATGTCCAGTGACAGTAATACAACACCACTGCCTCCCCACCCGTATGAGTTTGAGATGCTGTTGACGTATCTCTTGCTTGAACCATAGTGTGTGATGGTTTTCTACAACTGAATAGACATTTTCCTACCACCAATTTTGAATTTAAAAATTTTAAAAGTTGAATCAAATTTCAGAATCACGCTAAATTCCTGGAGGCCTCAAAGTAAAATTTTGCTCCGATAACTGGTTAGTTTGGATCGAATGCGAAATTATTCCCTTAAGAACAAACATATTAACACACTGCAGTATTAAATTCCCCATTAGTCTAATTTGCAGATGTAAACTGCAGTAGTTTCAGACTTTGATACACTCAATTTGAACAAATATGATTTCATCAGAAGATTTACACTACCTTTATTTGAATGGTGACTTTCTTGAGATCATCTTCTTGATCTATTGTCAGGTCATCATCAAAAAATATTTCTAAAGGTGCACATGAATTGTGAATATATTCTTGGAACTTATTCTTTCTCTTCTGACTGAGATGATCTTCAACGTACAGTACTATGCTAGCCTGTTGCATAGCTGCATTTGCAGTTGCATTGTCGTACACCCTGAAATAAGGAGCTTCAACAATTACCAAAAGCACGTCAAGCAAATCAATTACATATATAAGAATGTGAGAAAGCCTTGGATAGGAGTTCTCTCTCACTGCACAGAATAGATCACCATATCCTTGATTCTACTACTGCCCTGCCAATATCTTCCTAACCCCTCCACACTGCTCCTCCATTAATCACTTGAGGGAAAGTTCTGCATAAATATAACCAAATCATTGGTATTTATGATGCAACCTGTATGTGTCTTTCCTTTGACCCTTACTACACTTGATGGGGCATTTCTGTACCACATTAACAATGAACTTATTGCTTAAATCAAGATTGCCAAACTCTGGATAATGATTGCACCAACATTAGGATCATGAGTTTTCCTTCACCTGAGGCAGCAGTGCTGATGTTGAAGTGGAAACTCTAGTAGGTCAACCCTGGAATTGGTTTAAAGGGTGTGGCCAAAGGAATAGAGCTCTAAAGTCCATTACTACCTCCATCTGTATCTGTCAACTGATCGTGGAGGACACCATTGTTCCTCTGTCACAACCCCTCTCCGCTCTTATAACCCTTCACCCCCTTTGAGCTCTCAACTTACCTCCACTCCCACTTCCCATTGCAAATTTCGCTATTTACACATTGCTGTTCTTACAGCAATGCCCCCTTATCCACTCTAATGTAACCCTATCAATACTTTTCAATATCACAATTGGCTGTCACAATTTTCGAAAGTATATCAATACCCTAAACGTTAAAGTTAAGCAGACATTGGGTTTAAAATGTCTAGACACCCCTATAATTTTCAGTCAACATTTTGCATTTATACTTTGCCTTTAATATAGTGAAATAGAAGCATTACCAAACACAGGGGCTCCTACCTTTCAAGATCACATCCTCCATCATATCCCATAAAGTATTCACCATCTTAATCCTGAAACCCATTTATAAATATTTATTTAGATATTTTTTGGCAAGGCTGACTGACAAGATTAAGTTGCTATTGCTGGGAGTATGTTATTGCAATGCACAATACAGTCACTGGAAAATACTCTTTTTTGTTCTAATATTGGTTATTGGTTGTGAACTTGCTCCCCACAATTCTGAGCTCATGGTCCAATTTAAATACCTATCTTACATCTCCAATATTTATGTTTTAGCAATTTAAATGATCATAGATCTTTCCTCCTTAATTTTCTTGACTCGACTGAAAAGACATTACACTGAAAGTTTTTACATAGCTTCAAGTGCTCTTGGGAGTTAACATCCTAATTTTCCTTTGAATCGTTTTGAATGCAAGAATGATCCTTTGAAGGCAAATTAAATCAGTATTGGACAGTGATAGTTTTCCCAATGTTCTATTGCATTAAAGAAGGCATTCAGTAGAAGTGAAAATTGGGTCCTCAACCTTAAACGAGATTTGGGTGACTAATTCTCCAAGGGAGGTCTTGTGGTAGCATAGGTAATGTCCCTGCATGAAAATCTTAACTACTGCATTTGAGTCCTACACCAGGACATGACCCTAGAAAGTGCATTCATAATGCAGCTAAACAGATTGACTGGCAGGCAGCAAAAGTGAGACTGTCTCCTGGTCAGCCATGCTTGGTGCAAAGTGGCCCCCCTCAAACTGTAGCCTCTGGACTCAGGCTAGCGATCTGGTCCAAGGAAAAATGAAAACTAGCCACAGAGACAGATAAAAGAGTGTGTCTTTTTCTGTCTCATATGCCACTAGAAATGGGAGGCAACCAAGGAAGGAAGGAATTTTTGGGCAAGCAATGAGACAATGCTGGGTATTGGGTTAGATAGATGTAATGGTTGGAGCAGTTCAATAGTGCCCAATGATTATCTACTCTATGTCAATTTAATGAAACCTTTTAGAAGCATTGAAAAAATGAGAAGGTGTAATTTGAGAGGGAGGTACTTATTCTGTTCTACTCCTGTAGAACAGAATAGACTGTAGAACAGACTTATGATGGCCACATCAAAAATCTGAGAAATATTTTCACTGTGAATAATGGTTAGGGTTAGGATGGTTCTTTTAGAACAACCTACTAAGCTATCAAATTCAACACTGAATGTCCTCAGTAATTGGGTGTCCAAACGGTGGATGCAGGTACAATTTTAACATTTAAAAGACATTTGGATTAGTTCGTGGATGGGAGACGTTTGGAGGGATATGGGCCATGTGTGGGCAAGTGGGACAAGTTTAGTTTGAGAACATGGTTGGCGTGGACTGGTTGAATCAAAGGGGCTATTTCTATGCCATATGACTCTATGACTCTATTTCATCCATTAATTAAATCATTTTTAGCATTTCCTCCCTCTCAAAGGAGCTTGTGTGCTTCTTTGCATATTGCCATGGAAATGTCACTTACTCTATGACATTCTGTAATTTTGAAAATCTCCTTCCAGGAAGTCAAAACAAGGTTGGACATTCACTATTGTGCATTATCTAACTGATCATAGTGGAGTCAAAGAGCATAACAAACAATGAAAACAAGCCCATTACACTGCCAACCTTCCATCTTTATCTATATCTATGTAATGAGTTCATACTTTGTTACTTAGGTTTCTTATTTCTTTTCTGGCACTTTCACTTGTGAATTGGGATTCATTTGCTGCATCTTTCGCAAACTTACTCCTTGAACTGAAAATATTAATTGCTGTTCTGATGGCAGTGGAAATACTGATTGTGCTCTCTCTTTTTGGTCAAGAAGCTGAAAGATTTTTGTACCTTTAATCCGCAGATTCTGAGATTTATCATACCACCAGCATTTCACCCAAGATCTGTGCGAGTAACTCAAGCAAAAATTATTGCATTTATCCAATAACCTTGTAGCATGACAGGTGATTTCCTTTACATCTTAAATATCTTTCATAAAGACTTACCTTTGGAATGTGTCAGATAGCAGAGCAATTAGAAGATTGATACAGAGGATGCTTGAGACCCCAAGAAACATTCCACAAAGAAAATATGCCATTACTGGATCCTTGGCATACATATCCTCAAACCCATAATCATCAACCAATGTAATACGAAAGACAGTAAACATCATCTGGGGCAAAGTTGTCATGTTTGATACTAGCCCTAGAAGCATGGAAATGATGGAAAATAACAAACATAGAAAAGTTATAACACAGAAAGAGGCCACTTATCTTTGGATAATTGTCTAGTTGCCTTTGACAGCCACTGACAGTGCATTCCAGTGCATTCATTGCATAAAAACAAACTTTCATGTCAATGCGCTGTTATCACCAATCAGCTTAAGTCTGAGTGCTCTGGTTCTTAATTCTTCCATTGACTGGAACAGGTTCTCTCCATCATGTGCCCAAACCCCTCGTGAATTTTGAACATTTCTATCATATCGCTTCTTAATCTTTACTACTCTAAGGAAACTGATCTCAGTCATTCCAATCTATCCACGTAGGTGAAGATCATTATCCCTGAAACCATTCTCATGAATTTTAGCTGCACTCTTTCTAACGTCTTCATAACCTTATGAAAGCATAGTGCCAAAGCCTGAACATAATACTCAGTTTGAGGCAAATTAATATGTTATGCAGGTTAATTATAATTTCCTTTCTTCACTACTTACAGGCCTATTTATAAATTCCAGGATCCTGTACGCTTTATTAACCATTTCTCAGCCTGCCCTGTCATCTTTAATATTTGCCTACATGTACCAAGTCTTTCTGCATCTGCACCTCTTTTAGAATTGCACCTTGTACTTTAGATTCTTTCTTCTCTTTTTTTGCTGCCAAAATGAATCACTTCACACCTCTGTGCCTTAAATTTCATCTATCACTTGTCTACTCATTACACCAATCTGTTCAAGTCATTTTGACATTTACCACTAGCTTCCTCACAGTTCACAATAGTTCCAAAGTTTTGTGTCACGCACAAATTTTTGAAACTGTGCTTGAATGCCCAAGTCTAGATCATTATTATAGATCATGAAAAACAGTGCGTCTAAAACTGCCCCTTGGGGAAATCCAATTACATTCTTTCCTCCAGTACAGAATCACCACTTCCATCTAATGGCATGTCACAAAACCAATTTTGTATCCAAGCTGCTGCTGTCCCTTTTATTCCTACGGGTTCACGCATTGCTGACAACCTTATTATGTGGCACTTTATCAATTGCCTTTTGGAAGTACATGCACATTACATTAACCATGCTACCCTCATTAATACTGTTACCACAAAAAAAAACAAACAAGCCTTACTTAAACACGATTTTTCCTTAACAAATCTGTGCTGGCTTTCCTGAACTAATTCAATGTCTTGATTCCTTAATCACTACAATCTAAAAGGACAAAGGCAGCAGATACATGGGAGTATCACTATCTGCAAGTTCCCCTCTAATCACAAACCACCCTGACTTGGAAATATATTGCTGCTGTCCCTTCACTGCTGCTGAGCCAAAATCCTGGAATACCCTCCCTAAAGGCATTGTGGGTTTACCTACACTACATGGACTGTAGCGGTTCAAGGAGACAGCTCACACCACTTTTTCAAGGGCAGCTAGGGATGGGTAAAAAATGCTAGCCCAGCCAACAATGCTATATCCCATCAAGGAAGTTTTAAAAAATACATATTTGTCCAAATGGTTTTTAATTTTGTCATGAATTATTGTGTATAACATTTTTAACATCAATGATACTAAACTGACTGGCCTGTCACTACTGGGTTTATCCTTTCACCTTTTCATCAACAAGTGTATGATACTTTCAATTCTCCAATGCATTATGTTTCTTTCGAAGCTGGATTGGAAGTTATGAGCCAATGCCTCTGCAATGCACGCATTTACTTCCCACAGCATCTTTGGATGCTTTTTGTTTTTATATATGCTTTGATGGGATGCGGATGTCACTGGCAAACCAAACATTTATTTTTTTACCCATCCCTACATATTTTTTAGAAGGTGGTGGTGAGTTCCCTTCTTCAATTGCTGTAGCCCACCTGGTGTATGCATTCATACAATAATGTTGGGGATGGGGGTCAAGATTTTGATTCAACAACAGTGAAGGAATAGTTCTGGATTTCCCATTCTGAGGCCAGCAGCTGAGGCTGGAAAATTTCCAGGCTCGGTGCATCTGCCATGGTATAAATGCTTTGAATGGTGTAATATTTCCCCTGGGGATGAAGGTACAGAAAGCAAGCTGGCCTGTTGCCACTGGCTGCAACTCAGAGGTGGCCACAGGGCCAAGTGCTGAAGTACATTGTTTCTAAGCCTTACCTCTGTTCTCTGAGACTTCATCCCAGTCATTTTGTTAAATATTAGTTCTTTTAGCCCTCACCGCTTATTCCTCATGCCACCAACTCATCCCTTTTGTCTCATTTGGACTGATTCTAACTCTTGCACTCACTCATCCCCATGGTTTCTTACAGCAGCAATGCTACTTATTGCACACATCCCCATTATCTCCTACAGCCCCTTTTCCAACTGTGTGCCAATTCATGCCAACCCATGCCCTCATCATCACTCTTTGCCCTGATATACTCCATTGGCAGACTTCAGGAACCATGCTGTGATGCAATAAAATAACTTTCTGAAAAACAATTACAGCAGTCACTAAATTTAAAAACTATGAAAACCCTTCAAATGTATTTGAATTCCTGAAAGTAATTAATTCCTTTAAAAGAAACATTTTGTATTCATAACTATAAGTAAGAGATGTAATTATTTAGTAACTCTTCAAGTGGCCATGAAAGCTCCAAAATTGTTTACTTATAATGACGCATGATAAAAATATGTAACTATAGAAGGCAGCCAACCATTAAATAATGGCTTAATGGCAGCTTTTAACATTGTGTGAACAAGTATTGGAACTTCTGGATCAGATTTTTTTCGACTCACCCAGCCAAAGGTAGGTATTTTATTTTCATTTAAATAATAGGACAGTTTTTCAGTTCTCCAGATCTATTCACTCTTGAAAATTATACATGGCTTCTTTAAAGATTTAGAATTCCCACTCTACAGAATAAGGCCCTTGTACCAGGTAAAAAATGGAACCTGAATACACAAGTTATGCGATGCAGGCAGGAAAGTAGAGCTGAGACTACAACTAAAACAGCCATGATCTTATTAAATGGTGGAGCAGACTCAAAGCCAAAATAGCCTACTTTTGCTCCTACGTCTTATATGCCTCTGAATTTGGCAGCATCTTCTGTCTTGTTGAAGGCAAATGCAAAGAACTAACTTAGTAACTCTGCCATGCATCCTTGCCTCGACTCATAAATTTATTTAAAGATCACTAATCTGTCTCATTGCTTCTTTTATCACCTTTTATTATTCACAAGCTTATGTAAAGACATTTGGATTCTCTTTTATGTTCTTTGCCAGCTTCTTCCCTTAAATTTTTTATCACTTCCTCTCTGAACCCTCTATATACTCTCTGAACTCTCTATATACTCAGCCTCGTGTTTTAAAGAAAATTGTTCATGCGATGTGGGTGTTGCTGGCTGCATCAACATTTATCACCCATCCTTAATAGCTATTGTCCCTTGTGGTGTAGGGACACTCACAGTGTTGTTTGGAGGGAGTTCCAGGATTTTGATGCAGCAACAATGAACTAACAGTGATATAGTTAAAAGTCACAAGTCAAAGTTCTCTATCTTGTCAGGTTTGAATCTTGGAGACACTACAATTTCCTAATGCGCAGAATTTATCATCAAGTTACATAACATTTTCATATTATACAAATGGCTGCCAGATCCCTCAATTTTATTATCCACCTTATTATCCATATTTGTCATAGGCACCCTTTTGGCTGCTTCATTTAATCTCTGTAATCATCAGGGGAGCTCTGGATTTGTTTAACCTCACCTTTCCCCCTTGTGAGACTGTAAATTGACTATGTTTGGAAAACAAAACCAGGAAATGTAGGACCACGATTTGCATCTTCTGAGATTGTCCTTTCTCACGATTTTCGAAGTTCTGAAAGGTCCACTGACAGAACTGTAGTCGAGCAGAATCTAGAGTGATCCAAAGTGGAGGCCACTGACAGCGGCTTGAATTCTAGGGTGGAACCATAAGTATGTTTGGAACAGGTCCATTGTAGCTGTAATTGGGTGCTGACTCCAAGGTGCCAGAATGTTAAACCAGTTCTAACAAAGTAGTGAGGCACGGAGTGGGCCTTGTAGGAACAGAACAACTGCCAATCTTCCAAATCTACTCCTTCCATCAGGTTTGAATTATATTCTATGCACATAATGGAACCCAAACTTGTTCTGAGCAAACATCGGTTCCTTTCAGATTCTCTCTGAACTGTGTCCCTTTGATGCAAATGGAACCATAAGTAGACTCAACCCTTCCCACGTAGATGCAACGGTCAAGAAGGCACAACAACACCTCTTCTTCCTCAGGTGGCTCAGGAAATTTGGCATGCCCATAACATCCCTCACCAACTTCTACAGATGCACCATTGAAAGCATACTGTCCTGGTGCATAATGGCCTGGTATGGCAACTGCTCTGCCCAGGACCGTAAGAAACTACAGAAGGTTGTGTGCGTAGCCTAGACCCTCATGAAAGCCAACCTTTCATCCATGGACTCCATTTACATGGCTTGCTGCCATGGAAAGGCTGCCAACATCATCAAAGACCGATTGCACCCTGGTAATGACCTCCTACAGCCTCTTCCATCAGGCAGAAGATACAGAAGCTTGAACACACGCACAAGCAGCTTCAGGAACAGCTTCTTCCCGGCTGTTATCAGACTGATGAATGGACTGTCTAGCCTCAAATAACACTGATCTTGCTAACGTTGATCTCGCCTAGCACACGCATTGTGCAATGTAACCTGTATGCCTCTAGTCTTTTTTGATCTGTACATCCTTTACTTACTATGATCTGCCTGTACCGCTCATAAACAAAGCTTTTCACTGTACTTTGGCACACGTGCCAAAAAAAGTCAATCAAATCTACACGAACATTATCCAATTTATAATTATCCACAGGAAATGTGATGAAAATGTTTGCTTTAGAAAACATGACACTAGTCATGAGCTTAAAGACACCATGTACCAATGACTGATGTTATTGATATCATCAGTTCTTCTTATTGCATTCTAAAATCTTCTGTCATTATTCTGCCCATGGTGCTTGTGGCATTTTTCATGCTCTTCTCCACCTTCTTGATGACTCAAATGAGACCATTTAGTTTTACTTTTACCTCAAAAACATCAAATGAATCACTCTCAATTTCCAAACTCTCCTGAGAAATAAAATTGCTCCTATCACTCCTGGTCTTTGTGCTCTCTTTATTATCCTTACATTTTAAAATAATTCCTACCTTCTGGGTGAGTCATGATTCTGTAATCCTTATAACATCAGTATTTTCAATGTTCTGATGACAGGGTTGAAATTCCCCTTTTAATGAGAAATGGGAAAGTGCCTATTAATGGCCCACTAATGAGACAATATTGGCAGAAACTGCTCCTGTGTGCACCATGCCATTCTGCTCTCTCATAAACGGTTCGTTAATTATTGAGAATACAGGCATTTGCTGGTCTTTTGTCCGAAAGAGAACTATGGTCCTCAGTCCCAACAAAAGATAAAATACAATTTCAGAACTAATGATTTGCAAGTAAATACTAGACTCACCACCAAATATGATCCAAAATGCACAAGCAAAAGGAATGTAAAACTCTCCATAGAGAAAGAGGAACTTCAAGAGGTCAACGACAATCTTCCCAAGCATTACAATGAAAGGTCCCAGAGCTCTAGACAAGAAAATTAACAACATTATGCAAATAATGAGGGGATGTTACAGATTGTTGGGATGAATAAGGTGGCCACATACCACTTTGGTAATGAGTATCTAAATGTGATACAGAATCCAGGGATACCCATACACAAAATATCAACAATAGTGATGCAGGCCATAATAAAGAAGTAATAAGAAGGCCAACTACGAGTGGGTTCATTTTGAGAGGGATGATATTGAAAAATGGAACAGATATATGAAAATGTGTTAATTTTTATGTTCATTTTACCATTGATTAGGCCACATTCATATATAGTTATGTATGTATATAGTTCTGATTTCCATACTCTAATAAAGGACAATGAGGCAAGAATTCACAAAGATGAAACCCGGAAGGACATTGGTGAGGCCACGTTTAGAATGCTGCATTCAATTCTGGTCTCCCTACTGCAGGAAATATGTTTTTAAACTTGAAAGGGTTCAGAAAAGATGTACAAGGATGTTGCCAGGATTGGAGGGTTTGAGTGATAGGGAGAGGCTGAATAGGCTGGGACTATTTTCCCTGGAGCTACGGAGGCTGAGGGGTGATGTTATAGAGGTTTATAAAATCATCAGGGGCATGGATAGGGTGAATAGCCAAGGTCCTTTTCCTGGGGTAGGGGCGTTCAAAACTAGAGGGCATAGTTTAAGTTGAGAGGGGTAAGATTTAAAAGGGACCTGAGCAGCAACTTTTTCATGCAGAGGGTGGTGCATGTATGGTACAAGCTGCCAGAGGAAGTGGTGGTGGCGGGTACAATTACAGCATTTAAAAGGCATCTGGATGGGTACATGAATAGGAAGGGTTTTGAGAGTTATCAGTCAAATGTCCATAAATGGGACTAGATTAATTTAGGATATGTGGTTGGCATGGACAAGTTGAACCAAAGGGTCTGTTTCCATGCTGTATAACTCAATGACTATATGACTCTAAGTGAGAGGATGTATTTATCTGCAAAGACTGCACAGACTGGGACTCTTTTCTCTATAAAAGCAAAAGCTGGGTGATAACCTAATAGTCCAAATTATAAAGAAGGTTGATAAGATGAATGAAGAGATGCTTCTACGCCGGAGGACTCCTAGTCCAGGTTTCAAAAATATAAACTAATGATTGGAAATCAGGAGGAATTTCTTTACCGTAAGATTGCCAAGACTGTGGAACTTGCTACCACAAAGGACAATAGTATAGATACATTTAAAGAGTAGTTGGATGAACACATGAAGGAGAAAGGGGGAAGAGGACATGTTGGTGCTGATAGAGGAAGAGAGGTTCTGGGATAAATGTGGAGGATAAACTCTGACATTGGCTCAATGGCTGTTTCAAAACGTAGAGGAACAGTATGGCTTCAATTCCTTCACCAGCTGAGGTTACCATGAAGGACTCTTCTTCACAACCTCTTTCCTTGCCTGAGATGTGGTGACCTTCAGATTAAACCATCACTAGCTGTCTCTCTGTAATCAGACAGCAGCCCTATAATCCAGTAGGACTATGGAGACTTTACCCTTTTTAAAAGGTATACTCAATGGAAATCTATTTGTAGAAAAAGTTACTTCCAAAATAATGAATTCTTGATATAAAGCAATTTATTGTTTAGAACAGTATCTGAGAGAAAAAAGTTATAGAATAAAAGGAGAATGCCAAAGGTTAGGAAGAGACCTGGCTGCAATGTGTCTTTCCAAGGAGTTGGGAATTCAGACAGACATTTCAATGAAAAATATTCCCAATTTTTACTAATGTTTAATTTTTAATTGCTACAGGCAGCAATATATCACATTTTCTAACATACATTCAAGAAGTGTATAGTAGTTTTATATACACATTTATTGTGAACGAAAGGTCCTTAACTGAAAATGTTAGATCTGTTTTACCCTCCATAAATGCAGCCTTACCTCTGTATGTTTCAGATTTCCAGCATCCAAAGAAGTTTGGGTTGGATTTGCTTGGATGGAAGGCAATTGGAGAGGAGTGGGGTCTCGGCATAGAGACAGAATATTTCTGTGGGCCAGGGAGAAACACTCTCTGTTTTTGAGCAACTTCATGCGATCCATTTGAATATCACTTAATCCTTAAGGAAGGCTGAAACTGGGTGGAGCATGTATAACACAAGCTCCAACCATTTCTACGTGAACTTCACAATCAGGACCTGGCAAACGGAACAGAGTTCCAACTGCATATTTAAAGGAGGCTAATACATACTTACAGGCACCTGGACAACCATAAGCCACCAAAACCACACTGGCATCCAGTGCAGTTTTGGTTCTGATCAGCCCTGACAGATTGTGGTATCAAATTTTATGCATATTATAGAGACTGTAAATATATTTTCTCCCCGGAACCAATCATTGGCAATGTCTCAGAAAATGATAAATTGGGATGCAGGAAATCTGAACTAACTTCAGAAAATGTTGCAAGAAGATCTTGTGGGAAGTAGTTGGTGCCAAAACATTGAATGTATTCAAGAGGCAACTGGATGTAGCACTTGGGGTGAAAGGGATCAAAGGTTACAGGGAGAAAGCAGGTTTAGGCTATTGAGTTGGATGATCAGCCATGATCGTGAAGAATGGCAGAGGACTGAATGGCCTCCTCCTGCTCCTATCTTCTATGTTTCTATGTTGCAACATTTGCAGAGAGAAAGAAAGGGTCAGTTTTTCACCCACACGTTCTGCATTAAGATATTGGGTAATAGAGACCCCATGCTAACAACACCAGATCTCTTTAACTTGCTAAAGATTTCAGCGTGCACGTAACTTATGCATTTGGTGCAAATTAAATTTTCATGATCAGATGTGATAAAGGTACTTCCCCTCAGTGAAAGCAAGCTATCCATGCATGAATCACCTTGCATACTCATTATCTTTAAGCTCAAAAGCAGCAGCTGACGAAAATCAGGAGCAATTGACCTTGTAGAGAATGGTACATCTTACAGTGTAAATTATCTCTGCTCCAGCCAGTAATTCTGGCTAAGGAATAGTTTATAGTTGTTTTGAGCTCTTAAGGCAATAGTCTGGTCTGTACTATGACTTTATTGAAACTGGCTGCAAGATCGCAGTTCTGAATCAGTAGAGGTCACATAACAACAAACCAGAAGACACATTAATACAATTTCATTTTTATCCCAAATATTGCCCTTTCATACATAAAAACAAAAATAAATTGCATCCAATATTATGTACATTTTGAGTTACCCTATATGTATATATCACTGTACTTATAAATTATTTTCATTATCCTCAAGAGTCTTCATACATGCATTACATATTTGACCTTTAAATTGTGCCGGCCTCTTAATCATATGTGTGCACATTATGATTGTATGTTCACTTGGGTGATGTTCCTTCCCTGGAGAATGTCATTCCTGTGTTATTTGTTATTACTGCAGTACTGGTTATTCCATTTCTATTTTTGGGGGTGGGGAGGTGGGTGGTCGTGGTGGTCTGTGAACAATGCTGAAGGAGAATGGAACACCTTCCTGATGGACCACTTGCAGTTGAGGAACAGCTACTCCTGTTGTGCATATGTGCCTGTGGTGGGATGTACAAGCCTATCTGGTTGTTCATTGTGCGTGATGGAGGTGACAATTGCTCCATTCAGGTCTCAAATTGCCACCTGGACTGATTCTTGTTAACGTTGTTGAAGGTTTGTGCCTTGACTTTCATCTGTCAAAATGAATTTGGCTATTGTTTTACTTTGTTTTTGTCACCCACAGCTGTTACTACCTCTGGCTTCAGTAGCTTTTCTGCTGTTGAAAGAAAGGTTTATGGCAGTATGACATCAATCTCTGTACTGGACTATATATACTCAGTAGGTATGTTTTCTTTATTTGAGGATTGCCTCTGTGCTGAATTTTTTTGATTTTTTTTATTGTTCCTTCAGTAATTTTCACTGTGACCTTAGCTTTTTCATTTGGCTGGGTTTAGTGTGGAGAGGATGTGCAGTGTTGAATTTCCCAATCCTCTATGAGGGAATGATCCTTCACTCATGAACTGAGGGACCATTGTCACTAATCAAAATGATGCGAATACTGTGACAGCTGAAATGTATTTTCAGACATTCAGTAATCTGAGCAGTAGTTGTTGAGGTCAGCTAGGTCATTTCCCGGTAGTCAGAATAGCAGTCTACTGTGACAAGATAATGAGTTCCCGTGAGAATGAAGAGATCTACTCATGTGTCATCGGTAGCTCTCTATAGCTTTGCTTAGCTTGTTACTCATTACAAGCGCTGCACTGGCTGACACTGGCCTTGATTTTGTTTCTCATGTTTGGCTGGTAGAGCACATTTTTTTTGCTTTCCCCAGACTTGACTCAATGCCTTGGTGGCTTGCATTGATACATTTTAGCACCTCCGCTCTCAATTAGTTAGGGATAATGACTTTATTTCCTTTACACAATATGCCATCTTGGACTGTCAATTCATCTCTTTATGATCATTACACTCATATAGCAATAGTTGGGACCTTGCTTCTTTTCAGGCCATCCTTTCATCACTATTTCTTGCAAAACTTGGAGAGTTACATCTTGTTCAATAATGTACTTGATTTGACAGATTCAGATTCAATTTTGCTGAACCTTGTATTTCTTGGGCTAAGTTCCAGTTCTGTCAACTTGAGGATTTTTTTTGCTGCAAGACCGAGTGAGATTTTTCGTTGATGCACCCCATGGCATCGCCCTTGGCTGATTCGGTCCCCATCTTACCACACATCATTCCTGGAACAGCTTGCCATTCAGCTCTCCATTGTGCCAAAAGACCAGCATCGTTGGTGTCCACATTATATTTAAAAGGCCACTGTGCACTCTGAAGAGCACTGGCATTCTGAGGTTGCTCTGCTCAGTGATGGACATACAGTGTGAAGCTTTCGGAACGGGGAAGATGGCACCACGGTTCTCTGTCAGGGCTTGGGAGGTCCTGGCTAGGAGATGGTGCATAGGAGGGATGTCCTTTTCCTTCGCCCTAGAGGACCAGCAGAGGAGGCAATGACTCCAGACCCAGGTCCATGGTCATCACCGGGTTTGTGCAGACTCCACCATTCAGAGGAACAGCCAACAGTGCCACCAGAAGACTAATGACCTTCTCCAGTGTGCCAGGAAAAATGCCACACTTCTCTCTCTCTCTCTCTGCTTTCTCACAGCCATCTGTGCTATCACACCCATCCATATCAGACCAACTAAGTAAGTACCGTTCCTCATTCCAGTGCAAATCCCACAATAACCCCATTGTCAGGGTAATTCATTACAATTCTCTTCTAACCATTGTCTATGATACCTTCTCATGTATCTTGCAGATACCTGCAGAAAGTCCACGACCTTGACAGAGAGATAGCAGCTCCACTCTATCCTCTAAGGAAAAGGGTACTTGCCCCCTTGGAAAAATCAGAAAGGCTAGTTCTTACAACTATCCACCAGCTCAGATATGACAACTTTGGACTGGTATTGGAGGCTATCCTTGACCAGCCGTACTGGGACCTCCTGACTGATGGCTGTCTCCCTTGACTTGACCAAGGACTGTTGACAGCCATAAAAAGCTTCCTGACTTGGGTCTGTGATAAACAGCAAGGCAAGACAGAAATAATGTGAGCCTAGTATTGCGAACTAGTCAGGTGGGAATATTTTTAAATTCTTTTGTGGGATGTGGGCATCGCTGGCTGGCCAGCATTTATTGCCCATCCCTAGTTCCCTTGAGTAGGTGGTGGTGAGCTGCCTTCTTGAACCGCTGCAGTCCATCTGCTGTGGTTTGACTGACAATGACATTATGGAGGGAATTCCAGGATTTTGACCCAGCAACAATGAAGGAACGGCGATATGTTTCCAAGTCAGGATGGTGAGTGGCTTGACGGGGAACTTGAATGTGGTGGTGTTCCAATGTATCTGCTACCCTCGTCCTTTTAGGTGTGAGTGGCTATGGATTTGGAAGGTGCTGTCCAAGGTAATCTTTGGTGAATTTCTGCAGTGCATATTGTAAATAGTAGACACTGCTGCTACTGAGTGTCGGTGATGGAGGGAGTGGAGGCATACAGATGCAGTGCCAATCAAGCAAGCTGCTTTGTCCTGAACGGTATCAAGCATCTTGAGCGTTGTTAGAGTTGCATTCAATCAAGCAACTGGGGGAGTATTCCATCACACTCCTGACGTGTGCCTTGTAGATGGTGGACAGACTTTGCGGAGTCAGGAGGTGAGTTACTCACTGCAGTATTCCTAGCCTCTGACCTGCTCTTGTAGCCTGTGTTTATGTGGTGAGTTTCTGCTCAATGGTAACCCCCAGGATGTTGATAGTGGGGGATTCAGTCAAGGGCCGGGTGGTTAGATTGTCTCTTATTGGTAATGGTCACAGCGTGGCATTCCTGTGACATTAATGTCACTTGTCACTTGTAAGCCCAAGCCTGGATATTGTCCAGATCTTGTTGCATTTGAATATGGACTTCTTCAGTATCTGAGGAATCGCAAATGATGCTGAACATGTTCACAAATGACTGCACATCCCCTCTTCTGATCTTAAGATGGAGGGAAGGTCATTGATGAAGCAGCTGAAGATGGTTGGGCCTAGGATGCTGCCCTAAGGAACTCCTGTAGAGATGTCCTGGAGCTGAGATGGCTGACCCCCAACAACCACAACCATCTTCCTATAAGTCAGGTATGACTCCAACCACTGGAGAATTTGCCCACCCTGATATGCATTGATTCCAGTTTTACTCAGTCGAATGCAGCCTTGATGTCAAGGCGTGTCACTCTCACCTCACCTCTGGAATTCAGCTCTTTTGTCCATGTTTGAACCAAGGCTGTAAATGAGTTCAGGAGCTGAGTGGCCCTGATGGAACCCAAACTGGGTGTCACTGATCCAAGCTGTAAAAAAGCAAGGCAGGGACGTTGTAAGCATCCAGGTAAAGTTAGGGGGAGACAATCAGCTCCAAAATGCAGCCGGGTCTGTTATGAGAGTCCAATATCTTTGCTACAGCTTTTCAACGAGAGGCTCCACTGCAGCTTTAAAGTGCAGAAGTGTCCTGGTAGTGGATCAGAAAGGTGCCATGTGGGTCTTGAGAGGCTGGCAGTTATCCAATGACAGTATCTGCATGAGGAGTGGGGAGGTGACTATGAGGTGGTGGGGGAGGAGAGAAGCTGGTGCGTTGACAATTAGCCCCAAAGGACGTCTGTTCCCCAGCCCAAAACCAACTTTAACAGCTGAAGCTTTCATTTGAGGACCTCTCTCTGCCATGACTAAAGTAAGCAGCAGGGTTGATGTTCCCTGCACTGACCTGCAGTGTGCATGCACAGCAACAGCTGATGAAACCAGAAGTGAATGTGTTAGAGATAGTGGGAACTGCCGATGCTGGAGAATCTGAGATAACAAGGTGTAGAGCTGGATGAACACAGCAGGCCAGGCAGCATCAGAGGAGCAGGAAAGCTGACGTTTCGGGTCTAGACCCTTCTGCAGAAATAGTATCCTAATCAGCATGCACAAACCCTTTGGGCAGCTTAGAAGGAAAGTTGATTAGGCATGGGACAAAGTGCTGAAGTGACCATTAATTGGCCATCTAAAGATCTCAATTGACCCAAGGGATGGACCCCTCTACTGCCCCCTGTAAAAATGTAAGGGCCGGGCTTGTGGATAGCAGGCAGACCACCCATTGGATTCTGACAGCCCTCATGCCTTCAAACACTTTGGCAGGAGAGCAGAACATTCAGCCCAATGGCAATCACAGAATTACTGCAGCAAATTTCAAACTTGTATTCGAACTGTAGGACACATGCTGGACTATAACCTTTTTTAAAAAAAACTGGAATGCATAAAATTCATTTGCACTTGCTTATGATTTATAGAATGCGTATCATAGTTCAGGGAGCAGACAAGAAAGGTATTATGATCTGGAAACATCTTTTATCTGAGGGACAAAAAAACAGTAGTACATACCTGATAGCTCGGACATGCTTCATGAGCCGAAGCCAAAGGAATATGATAGTCACAGCAAATAGTCGAATATGTGCAACATGAATGAACTCGCTTTCCGTTGTTAAGTCAACAGCGTGAGTTGCTATGAGAGCAAAGAGCAGCAGATAAACCATCCAGTCAAACAAATTCCTGGAAAAACAATAGCATCATGTAGGTCAATGACAATAAGTTAGCAAATTCAGATAGCGCTCAATATCAGTATACTAACAATACTTTAGGGCAGAGACAGTTTCAGTCCAACTCTCTCTAGTTTTAATCCAAGTCATATTAACTGGCCAAGGCAGCAATCTCTCCACTAGAGAGAGAGAAAATTGGAGACAATTACACTTGGACAGTATCTCCACTCCTCAAGAGCCAGTTACAGAAGACATTGGAAGCAGTATGCTGTGCACCCATCCTTTGTTCCATAAACTCACTCAGACAGGGGAGGAACGTGAACTGAAACACCAATGAAATGAACAATGAACCCAAACACCACCATCTCCATAAAGATAGTGAGTGAGAAAATGCATGGCAGATGAAATATAATGTGGATTAATGTGAGGTTATTCACTTTGGCAGCAAAAACAGGAGACAGATTATTATCTGAATGCAATTGATTGGAAAGGGGAGAAGATGTACATTAGTCACTGAAAGTAAGCATGCAGTTACAGCAGGTGTGAACAAGGTAAATGGTATGTTGGCCTTCATAGTGAGAGGATTCAAGTACAGGAGCAGGAATGTCTTGCTGAAATTCTACACAGCCTTGGTGAGACCACACCTGGAGTACAGTGTGTAGTTTTGGTCTCCCTATCCAAGAAATTATGTTCTGGCTATGGGGGCAGTGCAGAAAAGGCTTACCAAACTGATTCCTGGGATGGCAGGATTGAGGTAGAAAGTGAGACTGGATCAATTGGGACTATGTTAATTGAAGTTCAGAAGAATAAGGGGGAATCTCATAGAAACCTATAAAATTCTAACAGGTCTAGGCAGCATAAATGCAGGAAGGATATGCTTGATGACAACGGAATCCAGAATCAGGGATCACAGTCTAAGGATCTAAGGTGAGGAGAGATTTCTTCATCCAGAGAGTGGTGAAACCTGTGGAATTCTCTGCCACATAAAGTAGTGGAGGCCAAAACATTGATTTTTTTTTCAAAAAGGAGTTAGATGTAGATCTAAAGGGATCAAAGAATGCCAGGATGAAGCAGGAACAGGGTACTGAGTTGGATGATCAGCCATGATCATATTGAATGGGTGGAGCAGACTTAAAGGGCCAAATGGCCTATCCTTGTTCCTGGATGCTATGATACATGATTACCAAACCATTGTACACATCAAATAAAAAGAAATAAAGAACTTGCTTACATAGTGCTTTTCATCATTTCAGGTTGTCCTAACTGACTGTGAAACCGATTTTAAAGCATAGTCACTGTGGTAATAAAGAAAGCTCAGTGGCCACTTGCACACAGCGAGTTCCCACAAACAGCAATGAAATAAATAATCAAAATGTCTCTTTTAGTTGTGTTAGTGAGGGATAAATGTTAACCAGGATGTTGATACATATCACATGTGCTTTTCTGATTTCCAAATAAAAATGCAAATATATTAAATTTAACAATTGTCAATCCTTTCCCTTTTTTGTATGCCTGCCAATTAATACCAGTATTCCAAATCTTCAACTCAAGCAGGACAATGAATCTTTCCAAGTCCCACTCATCTGCACAGACTATCAGTGCCAATTCCCTTTTAACTCAATGTTTAAGTGATAAGTAAAGAGATGCCTGCTCACTTTTCTCTCTTTCTCCAGGCAACTGGACAAAACTGGCAAATATCCTCCCATCAGGAGAAACAACAAGGCAGGAGTGGAGTAGTCATATTATCACTGAACTTGTAATCCAGAGATCAAGGGAAACTGATGGAATTTAAATTCCATTAATAAAATCTGGAATCAAAAGCCTACACTCAGTAATAATGATCATATAATTATCATGGATTGTTGTAAAAACCCCTCTGGTTCACGAATGCCCTTTAAAGGGTGCAAATCTTTCATTCATACCTGTTCTGACCTTGACATGACTGCCACCTGGTTACCTCTTAACTGCCCTCCAAAACTCAGTTCAAGGGTAATTAAGGATGGGCAACAAATACTTTGACAGGTTTGCACAACCCATGAAAGAATAAAAAATGCCTGAGAGAAGATGCTAATTGAGATGAAAGTCCAAATTGCTGCAGCTTTCAGTGTTCTTCTTAAATAAAATTCATTACAACCGTCAGATAATTAATAATAATATTTAAGACAATTACTGTTGATATTTTTTGAACATTTTTAATGAAGTGGAGACAGCACGGTCAGGAAAGTGGTTAGAACAATCACGAACACAATGACATCTCTCTGTTTTGTTCGTGCTCAGTTAAACTCCTACAACTCAAGTTGATTCAGCCCGACAACACATTAACACTTGTGACAATGCCATAAAATTCTTCAGCTTAATGAACTTGAAAGCTCAAATAATTAATCAATGTATCTGTGACAGAAGAAAGGGTGTCTTCATACCTGGATTCATTTTAACCTGACACACTTAGTGAAAAATGGGTGGCAAGGTGTTAGAAACATACAGGTTGTATCCCTGGACAGGGTCTGGCCATTTCCAATGTCAACCAAGGACTTGCAAGTTGATGAGGTGCCTGCCTAAAGATGATGAAAGCTTCATAAATTTATGCAAATTGGAGTGCTATTTCAGAGTGTTTGTAGTACAAATTCCAATCAATTGCCCCTCAGAATTGAAATCGAGGTCTGCTGTACTTCGTATCACGTGGCCTCCCAATTGAAACAAGCTTATGCTTGGACCATTTAACTCAGGACACTGCTCAAAATGATGACAGCTTCAGCACAAGAATAAATAGGGTAGTATGTCGCCCTTTGCTATTTTCAGCTGCTGCTGTCCCATTTACACCTGGGCCCTATTATCACTCAAATAGTCTAGCATTGACTGGGAATTGAGAATCACATTAATAATCAACACATGCACATTGTGAAATTCAGAGAAAGTTTTAATCGACAGCTTTACCAAAAATCTTTAAAATAGTGGGGATGCAGTTCTTCCAGTCCAGCCAGCTGTTTCTTTAGGTATGATTCCTCCTAACAGCCAAGAAAAAAATTGCACAGGATAATCAGTATTTGTAAACAGATGCATCTAGTTCTAGCAGAAAACATGGAATTGTTAATGGATGATACATCAATTATAAAATTAAGTTTGGAAAAGCAAAACAACATTCTCATGAAAACACAGTCCGAGGAAAAGCTGTGATTTGCTAGACAACTGTTCTATTTAAAAAAAACCTTTTCAGCAAATTTATTTAGCCCAGTTGTACATTGATAACTTTTTCCAATCTTTTGGCAGCACTTGAAATGTAGACAGTAGCACCATTCAACTGCTTTGCTGTGGAAAAAAATACTTTAAATCTATTAAAGACACCACAAGTTAGGATTTATATAAGCAGATATCAAGTTGAAGGGATTTCTACCTCTGGAGCTTAGAAAAATACTTCATTACATAAAACTTGCCAGTGGTGTTGCAATAATGAAATAATTTAGTGAACGTTAACTGAATTTTCCCACTGGAAAATAATTGAGAAAAAAATTACAGTTTATATTTTAATGTTCAAGATGTCATTTTATGTACCTCTGGCCATCTTGGGTGACACAGGTTGAGGTCCTTCATTATTTCCTTGCTTTTCCAATCCTTCCAAGAACTAAACTTCACATTTGACGAATGGATTTCGATAAATTCCTCTACAAGCTGATAGCCAGTAAGTCCAACTGCTATGATACCAATAAGAACTTTCCACCAGTCCTGTATTCATATAACGTAAGAGAAAGAAGATACCTCAAAAGGAACAAGAGACTAAGAATTTAGCATTTGTTATTCTTCAGCTATGACTTTCTACCCCATATTTTTATGATTTCTGAATCCACATGTTAAATGTAATGCTGGTACTGTTCTATATCATTAACACACTGTATAGATTTTTTAAAAATCAACCTGTTCAGACAGACCTCTGGTACTGATGTGACTTCAACCCAGGCTTCTTATTCCAGAGATAGGGACACTACTACTGTGCCCCAAAAGTGGTGTGATTAAGTATGTGCATTCCAACAAAGCCTATTTTTGGACTACAAATTTTCATGTCCACCATTCTTCATCTTTTGTCTTAGATCCCACTGATCCAGCCAATCGTCTTTGAATGCTGTGAGCAATTTCTTGAATGGTGGTAGAGTTACTGAGTCTGACAATTTGAAGCAACTGAACTAACGTACACTTTTTGAAATGACATTTTCACCTTGGTCAGTTAAACTTGCTCCCACTGTCAAGCTCAATAATTCTCCCAGACAATTCCTCCTAATTAACACGGAGGTTAAAAGTAACATTTCAAAATTAACGTAAAATGGGGGTGTAGGTAGAAAAGGTTTGTTGATCAGAATTAAATTTCTATGCCTGAATTTAAAAAGTATTATTAATGCTTTATATTTTAGATTTTTTGAGTGGAGGATCATGGTTAAGAGCCAAGATACACAGCGCAGATCACAGTAGAGGTTCAAAAAGCAAGAAAATGAAGTAAATGATAAGAAAAGAAATTTGAAATTCATAAGAATCTGGTAATGAGTGACCTGCTTGAGACATGATTGTGAAAACTGCCAGTTGTTTCATCAAAGCTCACTGGTTCATGAATGTTCTTTGGAGAAGGGAATCTGTCAGCCCTACCTTGTGCCAGCTGTGTGGAACTCCAATTTCATCCTCTGTGCATGATCTTTAAAGGTTCTGGAAGGGCCAGTAAGCCTCCCAGTCAAAAATATTTGTAGAAAATGGCCCCACCAATGCCAGTTTACAGAAATTCAGAACTTGCAATAGATATGATCTTGCCAGTGTTACTCACTTGGCAAAGACAATTTTTAAAAAAACGAGATAACACAGTGTGGAGCTGGAGGAACACAGCAGGCCAGGCAACATCAGAGGAGCAGGAAAGTTGACGTTTCGGGTCGGGACCCTTTTTCTGAAGAAAGGTCCTGACCCGAAACATCAACTTTCTTGCTCCTCTGATGCTGCCTGGCCTGCTGTGTTCCTCCAGCTCCACACTGTGTTATCTCTGACTCCAGCATTTGCAGTTCTTACTATCTCTTTTTAAAAAAACGATGCTAGAATTAAAGGGTGAATATTGTCAAAGGAACAAAAATATTGTGGAGTGTATGTACTTTATGCCCTGGATTATACAGGCCCCTTCCAGCATGTTTTAATGGTGTAGAGGAGTCACTAAATATTCAGTCTGTGGCTGACCCAGCCCCCTCTCTCCACCACCACTACCTTCCCACCTGTGTCTAACCTGTCTTTTATTTTACAATGTTCCAGGAAGCAACAGGTATAGCACCCAACCATGGGCATATTTAGGCCTTTCAGTGGCCAATTACTGGCCATTTAAAGGACCTTTAGTCCCTCTCTGCCACTATTTTACCTGTGTACATGGGCTATTGTCAGGAAGAAAGGGGAGGGAGACCACCCCCTTTGGTGTCCCTTGAGGCCAGTGGAGTAACAGTCCCCTCCGCTCTCAAGGTTATATCTGACTTTTAAATTTCTCTCTGGCTTCTAAAACCTGGACCCCTACTTCTTTTGTCAGGTATGCCAGCTGTTGTATTTGGAACTAGAAGGTTCTACTAGGATTAAGACTTGATTGGCTCCAATAAGTACAATCCATTGTCATGCAGATGTGTTGGAAGAGTAAAATTGGGTCTCCCAAGGCTTGGTCTTCCCACCTGTCTTTACTGTAATGTAAAGCCGATTTTTCCAACCGGTTACTAGTCGCAGAGAAGCAATGAACTATATCTTATTAATTCTAGTGACTTCTTCACTAGACTAGAAGGCGACTACCCTCACAAACACACTTAATCATATAATCACTTAATCTAAAGAATCCACACATCTAGAAGATACAGAAGGCACCACATGCAGTGATCAGAATAGAATATAAAAATTTAATTGAGCAGCACGAGTCCCAATGAGATGCAAAGCCCACTGATGTGGTTAGAGAGAAACTTACTCTTGCATTCTATCCAGGTAAACAAAATTCATGCTTGTAGATCTACCCCAGTTATATGACAGTAATATAAACATTCAAAAGGCATGTTTAATTATAAAGAACGAAACCATTTTGGTTCAGCATTAGTGGAGATATAGACACTCCATTTATAATTGGAGAATTTGATGAAGTAAAGAATACCAGTGAGAAGGACGAAGCAAACGTGGTACCATGAAAGACATGGCATCTTGGGTGGATTTGTAAAAGATAAAAGAATCATTTCTTTGAAGAATCAAAAAAGACAGGATTTCCATTGTGCTATTAAAGGACTTAAATAATTGAATTACCATGTTACAGAAGAATGAAAATTGTGTACACTGATAGCGTACACTCCACACAAAGTTGATGTTCATGCAGTGATTAACAGGGTTAGATCATGAATGGAGAAGCCTATTGATTAGGAGAAGAAATAGCCTGGGGTGAAGAATAGAACCCTGATAACATAACATGAAAAGGACTTAGATATTTTCTAATTGGGCTGGTCAGAGATGATATTACACACGTGTGGAGCTGGTGAGACTTGAATCCATGCCTCCTGTTTCAGAGGTGTGACAATGCTGTCACTTTAAAGAGATTATTTTGTCCTGGATTTTTTTTGAAGAGAGGTTGTAAAAGCAGAGGTAAAAAAATGGCTGCTGAAAACAGCTTCAGTAAATAATTTAGGAGGCCTTTAGGTTTTTAAAAAATACAGTTGCAACAATGGAAGGGGAGTGGCCAGCTCTCACAGACCAGGCTTCGTAGTTTTTTTAGTTTTAGCAGTTAAAAGCTGTTGGGGGTCCCAGGAGAATGGGAAGCTTTGGTAAATGATTCCTGGCTGCTACTTTCTCTGAAATTTCTCGATGTTGTTTCCTCCTGCATCGGAGAACTGCATGTAAGAATCTGTGTCTGACTTTACCTTTTTGCCAAGGTGTGTGTTTATGGGATGTTACTACATTGGAACAGTTAATTAATAATAGGTACTGTATCTGTTATTCGGTTATATTTTCCAATAGTTAAATTATTCTGAATTTCTCTTTCTTTTGCATACAGTTCTGGACACCACACTACCAGAAGGATGTGGATGCTTTGGAGAGCGTACAGAAAAGGTTTATCAGGATGTTGCCTAGTATGGGGAATTTTAGCTATGAAGAAAGTTTGCATAGACAGGGTTTGTTTTCACATGGAATGCAGGAGATTGAAGGGTGACCTGATAGAAATTTACAAGATAGTGAATAGCATGGATACAGTGGAAAGTATGACGCTTTTTCCCAGGGTCGGGGTCAATTACTAGGGGACACATGTCCAAGGTTTGGGGGTGGGGAGATAGTTTAAAAGAGATATGCGAGACAAGTTTTTCACATAAAGTGTGGTGAGTGCCTGGAACGCGCTGCCAGAGGAGGCGGTGGAAGCAGACAGAATAGCAGCATTCAAGAAGCCCCTGGATGAATCCATGAACAGGAAGGGAATAGAGGGATATGGATCCTGCAATTGAAGACAGTTTTAGGATGGGAGGGCAAAATGTATTAGTGCAGGCTTGGAGGGGCAAAGGGCCTGTTCCTGTGCTGTTTTGTTCTTTGTTCTTTGTTTGTATTTTAACTATAGTGCTTAAATAAAATGTGTTTTAATGTCGAGTGGTTTGACCAGTTGCATCCCATCTGGAACACGCAGCTCACATCTACCTTTAAATTAAGAAAAGTCAGGGTCTAGGCTACCCTCTTAAAATATTTTAAGGGGGTTCTGGTCTGGTCCACAACAGAGGTAGGACACCACCCCAGCATCACAACAGCTAATGAGAAAGGCACTGCTGAGATTCAAACACAAGATCTCCTCTTTACAAGGGCAGGCGTTTAAATCTACTTATCCACGGTGCTGCCCAAGAAAAAGACTTAATGAGATGATTTTAGCTCCTTCCACTTAATAGAATGGAGAGGCAGGGCAGAAACATTTGAAATAAAGTTAAAACTACACTTGACACCTATTTCTACCATCAACATTTGTGTGAGGGTTTTCACATAATTTTACTATCGTAATCAGAGTCTTACATGCAACATTGAGGAACTATTGGGCAGGCATGAACTGTGCATGGGCATCTTCTGGTACCAGGCTTTGAATGGCCTATCCATTGATCCTCAAAGGGTCACTGAAAACCACTCTGATAGTTGTTTGTGCAATGAGAGGTACATGAATGCTTTTTCTGGCCTCCTAAAACATTATGCAGTGTACCCTCTGACCTTCCACATTCACTCTGCCATGCCCAATCATCGAGATTACCTTCTTCTCCCCTCTAAGAATAACATTTCCACATTGATGTGCCCAGTATCTCCTAACTGGCAAGTTACCTGTGAGTTTCAGAACAGTAGTTGCATGTTTCCAGCAAAATTGAAATTAAGCTGCACCTTCAAAATAGCTCTAGGCAAGGACTTTAGGCAAGATGGACCAGTACATCTGCTACCACCCACCTAAAACTACATTAACTGCAGTTTTTTTGCAGGTAAAAGTTTGATTCTGATTTGATACCTTTTGATTTAAAGTAGATACTGTACTTACACGAGGTAGATCATACTTCAATTCTTCAGAATATGATAGAGAGGAAGTAAGTCCAAGAACAGTCCAAGCCAAGATGAAGAGGATATTTAGCACCAACATGATTGCGACTCCTCTCCTAGGAAACCAAACAATTTGTGAGCTTACTGCTATATCCAGGAATAAAGAAGGTTTAATCAAAAAGTGAAGCTGACAAAAATATTTTCAGCAACAATTTCTATTCAAAAACCAATTTCAACAGAGTTAACTGTTACAGAGCACATGAGATGAGTCAGACAAAAATTAACATCAGTACAATGATGGCATCAGCTAGGAGAATCTTAAAGGAAGAGTGGAGAGGAGAAGTTTAAGGAATCAATGCCAATGCTTAAGGCCCATAGTTGAATGTATGAAGTACAAGACCTTCATTGGGTGAAGGAAGCAGTATTAGAAAAGAGAGCAGGATAGGAGGTTTTTTTAGGACCGAAGAAAGTTAAAGACATAGGAAAACCATGAAAGGATTTGAAAACAAATGTGACAATTCAAAGCAGTTGGGGGTCAGCAGCCAATGTAAGTCATTGAGCTCCGAGCTGAAAGGCAAATGGAATGTGGTACCAGTTAAATGGTAAACAGCATAGCTCGGAAAGAAATCATATTCTGAAAGAATGAAGTGTGGAAGAGCGTTGGAATGGTTGAGTCTAGAGGAAACAAAAATGTTGATGGGAATTTCAGCAAGAGATGGGCTGAGATAAGGGAATGGTACAAAGGTGGACATGAGAGGATGGTCGATATGTGGTTGGATTCTTAGTTCAGGGTCAAATAAAATTGTCAAACTGACAGTCTGAGACAGAGATCATGGAAGGGGAAGGAATCAGTTGCAAGGGATTGGATTTAGTGGGAGAGGTTGATGGAAACTGCTTCAATTGTCCAGTATTTAATTGGAGGAAATTAACCTTACCTCCCAAAGCGTTTCCATTTAATTTGAATTAATTTCTGCACAACAGGATGCATGATGAGGTCCAGCTGTCGATATTGAACAATGACTTCAAGCTGAATCATGTTTGCAGGCAAACAGAGAGAAATAGTTTAGTGATCAATAAGAAGTCATAATTTCAGACTTACTTAGTTTCTCATTGCCGAGTGTGTATAATACTCTCAGATATTTCAATTGTTGGTAGAAAGGTATTCACAACATATTTACATGGCAATATATACTTCAAGTCACTTAGTTCAATTTCTAATATACAAGCACAAGAAAAACTGGTTGGAATTTTGCTAAAAATTAACTGAGTGTCAATTTTGAGGAGTCCCATGATAGAGGGGGGCTGTCTCTGTGAGTTCTAGTGAGATTTCTCACACAATTTTATGCTGCTCACCTCATTATGATGTTCCACACCTTGATGGAACAAGGTACAGACAGAAATGCAAGTTTTATCAACTGTTATAAAACCTCCACAGGTTGTGACTACACTTCTCAGCATCAAGGGAGCAGCCTTACAACAACATGACCATTGGAAACGTGGCATCCCTGTTTCCTTCACTTTGTTTCTAAAACCCCTCTTTCAAAGTACATAATCTACATGGAGCATAGATTTCCTATTCAGAAAACAGTTGCACATCACACCAAAAAGCAAAAAAAGAGTGGTCAGCTGGTAAAAATCTAGCAAATGCACAGGGAGGAACAAGAGCAACAAACAGGTCAGCAGGAGGCAATGGCTCTCATTGCCCGGAGGTGCAGGAATACAGCTACAATATGGGGTCTCAGTCATGTGACTGCTATGGCTCCCTCCATTGACAGGTTCGCAGATGCCATGCACAGCCATGTCCAGCAACCTCGGTTTCTGCTGGATATCTGTACATACCTGCACTCCATCGCTCCAGCTGTGGCCGAAGGCATAGCAACAGGGGGGTGCAGAACCTGGCACTCACTCCTGTGCCCTTTCCTCTAAAGGAGGCAGGCTGCTACCAGGAAGCAACCAGCCTGAGGTGAAAGCACACACGCACACAGACATATCCCTCCAGAGGTGTCAAGGCCCTCCACCTCCACCGTGGATGCCCCCTCTGACCTTGAAAGTTCAAGGTGAGGAAAGTCCACTTGCCTCTGACATGCCTTTAGTACGTCTGGGCCAACCACAAACAAGTGTTCCTGGAGCATCCAACCAAATGTCCAACAGCCATCAATCTCCAAAGCTGAGCAGGCTCCCTCCACACCAACGGTAGAAAGTAGGACAAAGCAAAGATGCAATGGTGGGGGGGAATGTCAGAAAAAAGAAACCTCTCAAGGGCACTTTGTTGCCACGGGTGACAGCACACTGCATATAAAGGTTTGCAGTGGTGTTCCCCCAGAATGGGTATTGGAATGCTTACATTTCCTGGTATATATTAATGACCTAGATCTTGGTGTATAGAAGCACAATTTCAAAACTTGTGGATGATACAAAACTTGGAAGAGTTATAAATTGTGACGAGGACAGTGTGTAATTCCACAAGACATTGACAAGTTAGTAGAGTGGATGTATAGGTGGCAGATGAGTTTTAATGCAGAGAAATGTGAAGTGATGCATTTTTGTAGGAAGGATGTTGAAATATAATCTACATGGCAGTTGTACTTCCAAAGAGGTAGCAGGAGCAAAGGGACCTGGCTGTATATGTACACAAATTTCTGAAGGGCATTAAGTAAAATATACAGTACCCCTGGCTTTAACAATAGGGAGTAGAGTACAAAAGTGAGGAGGTAAAGTTGAACTTATATAAGACACATTTTGGATCTCAGTTGAAGTATTGCATACAGTTGTTGGTGCCACATTATAGGAAAGATGTGAACTCATTGGAGAGAGTGCAAAAGAAATTTACAAGAATGATTCCAGGAATGAGAAACTTCAGTTATGGGGATAGACAGAAGAAGTTGTGACTGTTTTCGTAGGAGAGAAGAAGGCTCAGGAAAGCTCTTGTAGAGATTTTCAAAATCATGAGCGAGCTGGCTGGCAGTAGATAAAGAGAAACTGTTCCTATTTGTGAAAGGAACAACAATGAGGGGTCATAGATTTAAAGTGATCTGCAAAAGGAAACGGGTGATATGATAAAAACACTTTCTCTCAGTGAATAGTTAGGATCTGGAATGCACTGCCTGGAAGTGTGGTGGAGGCATTCAAAAGGGTATTGGATGATTACTTGGATAAAATAAAATGCACAAGGGTATAAGGATAAAACAGGAAATTGGCACTAGGTAATGATGCTCATTTGAAGAGTTAGTGCAGGCATGAGGGATTGAAAGGCTTTCTTCTATGCCATAAGACTTCTGTGATTCTGTGAAACTTGATAAAGGAGAGCCAATGGATGTGATATACTTAGATTTTCAGAAGGCTCATGATAAATCTCCCACAGGAGGCTGGTTAGAAAAGTTAAATCACATTGGATCAGAAGAAACTTACTGTCATGAATTCATAATTGGCTGACAGATGGAAAACAGCAAGTAGGAATAAATGGGTAATTCTCGAGTTGGTAGACTGTGATTCATGGGGTACTATGAGGATCAGTACTTGGTCCCAACTGTTCACAATATATATCAATGATTCAATGATTGCTGCAGGGCGGCATGGTGGCTCTGTGGTTAGCGCTGCTGCCTCACAATGTCAGGGACCCGGTTTGATTCAACCTTAGGTGACTGTCGTGTAGAGTTTGCTCATTCTTCCTGTGTCTATGTGGGTCTCCTCTAGGCGCTCTGGTTTCCTCCCACAGTCCAAAAGTGTGCAGGTTAGGTGGATTAGCCATTCTAAATTGCCCATAGCGTCCAGGGATGTGTAGGTTAGGTGGATTAGTCATGGGAGATGCAAGGTTACAGGGATAGGGTAAGGGGGTGGGTGTGGGAGGGATGCTCTTTTAAGGGTTGGGGTCCACTCGTGGACTGAATGGCCTGCTTCCACACTGTAGGGATTCTATTTGGACGTGGGGACCAAACATATTATTTCCAAATTTATGGATGATACATAGCTAAATGGGAATGTGTGTTGTGAATAAGATGTAACGTGGTTTCAGGAGGATTTGGAGAGGCTTAGTAAATGAGCAAGAGGATGGCAGATGGAATATGCTGAGGAAGAATGTGAGGTTATTCACTTTGTTAGGAAAAACAGATGTGCAGAGTATTTCATAAATCATAAGAGGTTGGAAAGGGCTCTAGGCATCCACATCAATACATAAGTGAAGCCTAAAAAGCAGGTAATGCAAGTTATTAGGAAGGCTAATGGAAAGACAGCCTTTATTGCAAGAGCAGTCAAGCACAAGTGTTGTGACGTCTTGCTTCAATAATGTAGGAACTTGGTTAGACTACGCCTGGAGTACTGTGTAGAGTTTTGGTCTCCTTATCTTATGAAATATATTATTGCCATTGAGTAAGTGCAACAGGGACTTGTTCCTGGGTGTCTCATGAAGACCAACTGGCAAACTGGGTCTGTATTCTCTGAAGTTTAGGATAATGAGAAGTAATCTTATTGAAACTAAGAAAATACTTAAAGGAATAGAAAGGGTAAATTCTGATAAGATGTTTCTCCTGACTGGGGAGTCTAGAACCAAGGGGGTACTATTTTAAAATAAGGGGGATGGCACAAGGATCCAAGATGAGGAGAATTTGTTTTTACTCAGAAGGTTGTGAACCTTTGGAATTCTTTACCGCAGAGGACTGTGGAAGCTGAGCCTATGAGTACGTTTAAGGTAGAGAGGGTTATGGGATGGGTGGGTGAAAGGGACTAATGTGCTTGATTAGAAATGATTGTATCGAATGGCAGGAAGGCTTGATGGACTGAGTAGCCTACTCCTGTTCCCATGAAGTTACGCATTATTCCTGACATTGAGATAGGCTTTGCTGGATTTCTTATATTATTCTGCCACATTTCTTGCCATAGCCATGTTGTTCGGGACCTTATAAGATTCCACCCTAGCTTCCTCTTGAAATAATTTAAACTACATGCCTCAATAACACTTCCTGTGGTAGTGAGTACCATCGTACATGAACACATTTGAAAAGTCTGTTGTAATCTTGAAGGCTGAAAGGATATTTGTGGCGGACAGAAGATTCTTTTTCAAACACAGAGAATACTGGAGAAACTCAGCAGGTCTGTCAGCATCTGTGGAGAGAAAAGCAGAATTAATGTTTTGAGTCCAGTCTGCTTCTTCCTCAGACTTTCTTTTGCAGAGGTGTCATACTGGACTTGAAACATTGACCCTGTTGTCTCTCCACAGATATGGACAGATCTGCTGAGTTTCTCCAACATTTCATGTATTTATTTCAGATTTCCAGTATCCACGGTATTTTGCTTTCATAGGAAATTATTTTTATTGCAGTTTCAAATGTTACACAAAATGGTTTGTTTACACAGATTAGTCAATTGGTTGAGAAAACCCGCAACAACATTTTCTAACCATAACTTGTCTCAAGTAGGATAGCCTAATGGTAAGATGTCATCTGTTGGTGTCGGTTGTGCTTCAAGAGTTTGATAAAACAAGGCTCTTAAGGGTATTAATTTCATTAGATAATTAAATTTTGAAATTGAAAATAGTTAATATAGTAAAACTGAAATTTGATGGCTGTGTTAATTCATGGCAGCGTTATTGAACACATTCTTCTGTTTACCATCCATTGATCACTTTACATTTTAATGATCCAGATTATACTTAACCTCTGAACCCTACTCAATAGAGAGACTTCTAACTTAAACATGTAATATAACTTCAAGGTGTTTGCCAATAATCCCAGCTCAAGGCCAGTTGGAGTTGGGCAACTAGTGTTGGCCTTGGATAAAAATGTAGGAATAAGTCCAGCTAAAATTCTGGACTATTTTTAGTTCATGTTTAGAGCTGGTGATTATTACTGGACTTGAAAAGTCTCATGTAACAATCAATCTCTGATCAAAACATTTCTGTGAAACAGAGGCATTTCCTCAAACCTTAACAGAACACTCCATTTATCAAAACTGAGGCAGTACTTACCAATGACTTGGCACGGCTATTATCTGTTTCTGTTTCCAAGCAGATTTTGGAAAAATCAGAGCATTAATAAGTATATTTTCTTGATCTGTAGAAGTTACTTTAATACAGGTCCACTATTCTTCATCTCTATTATACCCCAGTCTTGCTAAACAAGAGTTTCAGGTAATTTAAAATAAATGTGAATTCCAGCATTGTCACCTTTTTATATTATTCACCTCTGGTGTTTCCTGCCAGGACATTGTAAATGACTTCAAAGATAATCCAAGCTCAATGTTGCTTTATTTTAATTGATGTCATTACAAAGTTAGTTTTGCTGGACAGTGACATCTCAGAATTATAATGAGAATCCGCTGGAATGTTTGAATTTCGGAGCTAATATAATTTGTGTTGCTGATTCATATTAAGTTGTAATATAAACATTATCAACATCAGCTTCGTTCTGGCCACAGCCAATAATAAATGGCAGCTTTGTTATCATTTCTGTTTCCAGCTAGCTCGAATTATTTTTGCAGCCAATGCTCCAGAATCATTTCCAGAATAGTAATTTGAAGTGAATTAGAAGTGACACGGAGGCATCTGTTTTCTGAAGCATAGAAGGTTGTACACCTCACCTTATAAATGAGGAATTATGTTTGGGTGCACAGAAAGAAAGGGAAATGAATGAGTTTTTTCAGATAAACCAATAGGACTATGAATTTGAAAAATGTTTTACATAAATGAGTACATAAATCATCCCCTCTTAATTGGTAAGACAAACAAAATTGGTGATTTTTCACAAACAATACATCTTTAAAAAACTCAAATAACTAAAGTAAAAGATATAAACAAACCAATATAAAAATTGTATTGGCTGAATGAAAACGTCAAACAATATTGCCTTAATTAGTAACAGCAGTTGTAAAAAAAAGGGGTCATTCTAGGCTAGTCACAATGGAACACAATCAAATGTATCCCCTTACATTTTCTGAGTTGAGTAGGTGCACAGTTATTAATACTTAAAGAAACGAAAAGTGTCATAAAATAAATCTAAAAAAACTTTAAGATCTGGTGAATCAAAATAAACATTCTATGCAAGACCCACTAGTCCTGGAAGGAAACACAATGGAAAGATCCCACTTTGAAGTAGATTAGTCAACTATAGAGTCAGACAAGCTTCTCTTGACCAGGCTGCATTTACAGACCACTTATTAAAGCAGCAGCACAACAAAAATTCTATTCCAAATGGGGATGGCCCTACCCAAACTGATTTTGAAGCAAGATTAGCTGAAACAACAGACCATGTTGTCATGGTGAAATGAGACTAGATCAAAAAGAATAATTTACAGGTCACAAGTAGCAGCACAAAGGGTCATTAGTAAAGTTAGAGAGAAAATTAGAGCAGTTGAATGTTTCACTGAAAGTGACCTTGTTTGTAGCTCAAGCAAAAAAATGGATGCATCAATCTCAGTCAGCACAAATTTTTCCAAATCTCTGTTGAAGTCACTATGGAAATTCAAGTGGAATATCATACATCTTTTCTTGGAAAAAATTATTGATCCATTAGTGACAGTTTAAAGGAAAGCAATAAAGGTGCTTCTGGGCAGGAGAATAGGATATAAACTGTGCCATTCACTATGACAAATTGTGAATGACCTTCTCCCTGTGTATTTAAACTAAGTGGTTTAATCAGTCTACAGTTGAATCACTCACTTCAAAAAGAGTTTATGAGGTATGTACGCAGGTGGGACATGGGTTCCATGTGACTGGAGCCATGTTATATCACTACATTATTAATCTAAAATTGTTCAACAAATTGATATCCCCTGATAATTATGTAAACCTTAGATCCAAGATAGTTGCACATGGGTCCTCTGTATTCAGCTGAGGCTCAGCCTGTTTATGTGAATCAAACTTTAAAACAACACATTCATTTAATTGGTGTGTCAGCTTACCAGAAGGTTGGGGTATCAGGAGGTTCAACATGAAATATTGTTTTCGGTTAGCTCTGTCCTTAAAGATGAATTGATCCAAGGCCGTATATGCCTATGGGGTACAGGCAAAAGAGGCACTTAATTCATCATTCCGAGGTTACTTCAAAATCGTTCCAACCCTTTTTCTTCTTGCTGTCCTTACAGGGTGGTGACACATTTGCAAGCACAACTCCATGTGGCTAGTAGTTCTCTGGTACATTAATCAAAGGTAATGTTCCTTTTCTGCACTCAGTTTGCAGCCTTTAATTGACAATTTCACATGTATAAATAGAATAACAAGTGTCACTGGACAAGAAGAAATGTCAACTTTGGCTTTCTTTCTTCTCCTCCACCTTAGGTAGATTGACATGCTTCACAAGCTCCCCTAACTCACCTCAAGACCAAACTTGCAGCCTGCCTAAGTCATAGTGCCAAATCAAATAGTGGAATCATGCATCAACAGCAACTTGCATTTATTTAACACTCCTCATGTCAAAGAAAGGAATGATGGCAATTGTGAAAGAACCGGTGGGTAATTTAGTAGAGGAGAATAAAAGTGCACCCCAAGTGAAGGGTTTTTAGGAGATTTTTGAAGGCAAGCGGGCAATGGTAGACTAAATATTTTATGACAGAATTCTACCAAAGAGTGGTGTGACCTTTAAGAACCACATAAAGCAGTGGTGTGGAAGGATTGGAATCAATAGTCAGCTTCAGAGTGAAAGGTGCATGGGAGACATGCAGTTGTAGAACATTGTTCAACTGGATTCAACGGAACCGTTCCTTTTGATACATAAGTGGACATCAATGTGAATATTTCAATCTACTCACAAGTTGAGACATACTTGCTGCCATTAATGTAAGGCACAATTGTCCTGTATTATCATGAACTCCTGCATCTGCTTGGTATTGCAATAACAATCGAGCTGACTCAGATCGATCTGAGAGGGAACATCATAAAAGAGAACAATTTAGTGATCACAGAATTATTCGGCAGAGACAAAAAATACTGCAGTTTACTTATAATTTAATCCATCCCAGACCTCAGAATATCTTGCAGAAAATAACATGGATGCCAGAAATCAGATTGTGATATTTCTCTGGTCACAGATAATGCCAGTTAAATACTTCCAGCAATTTCCATTTATATCTCAGGATACACAAGTTTGCATATTTTCAGTAGCTCATTTCAATTCATTTTTCTTAAAGTTGTCTCTATTAATAATTATGTTATGCTAAGTAGTCCACAGTGAAAATGTTACCATTTTGTTAACATGAAAAGACAAGTAATCCAAAGGCCCAGGCTAATAGAGGGACGTGGACTTAAACCTCACCATTGCAACTGGTAGAATTTAACTGCAATCAATAAAATCTGGAACTGGAAACTTATCTCGATCATGGTAAACATGAAGCAACTATTGGTTCATGTGAAAATGCATTTTGCTTACTGATGTCCTTCAGAGAAGGAACTCTGCCATCCTTCCTGGTCAGGCCTGTATGTGACTTCAAATCCACAGTAATATACAAGAGTCTTAACTGCCCTCTGAAATACCCTAACAAACCACTCAGTTACAAGACAATTAGGTTGGGCAAAAATTGCTGGTTTTGCTAGAGATGCCAATTCCCAAAAAGAGAGTAATTTTAAAAACATTCTCATTTATGTCTACATGACTAGATGGACCTTGTCCTAATTAATACACCGGTTTAAATTTACAGAATTCTTTTTTTGCTGCAATCAGAACTCCTGTGAAGTGTGAACCTATGAATCTTCAGGTCAAATAAGATCTCCTGCAAGAACAAAAACAAAGTTGCTGGAAAAGCTCAGCAGGTCTGGCAACATCTGTGAAGGA